TATATATATATATATACATATATATATATGTATGTATGTATGTATGTATGTATGTGTATATGTATATGTATATGTATATGTATATGCGTGCATGGATATCTTTCAATTCAAGCCGATGTTTAAAATTGCCAAAAACTTAAAATCCTGCAAACAAGACGGGTTTGAAAATCCCTTATCAAAGGTAGATCAGCATACATATTTTCTAAATCGAAATATCTCTTTGTACCAATGCAGCGTCTCGGACAAGAAGACAGCGCAATCCAAGAGCTGAGGAACCAAATTGGCAACCAGGCCGGAAATATGCAGGTACTTACACAAAGAAAACAACAGTGTCCACTCTTGAATGTGTATCTTAAGTCTAGATCTCAATCCAAACCGGTATACCCATGTTCTTATTCTTGGACTGGAATCCGTTTGGGAAAGCAAAAACGGAATCGTGTTTACGCCCCTGCGGTATTGGGTTGATTGCCACTGATGCGAGTTTATTTGCGCTCTTGTTTCGTTCTCTAAGCGCCCATTCTGAGTATCTGATGCCGAGATCGAGTTACGTATCGGTTTGGAATCGTATGAGCGTTACTTCGTTGCCTACATATGTATGTGAATACACTGTTGGACTTTCTCAACTAGGTAAATATGTACGTGTCCATATCATTTTCATAGCCACACCTGTACTAAACTATGCTATGTATGTACTCGCGCAGGTGCTAAAAGGAGAATACGACCGTATCACGGGCGGCGTTTCGGGATTGCAGGAACGACACAAAAATGTAAGATATTCTCGATTATATATATTTATATATATATATATATGGATAGATAGATATAGATGTATGTATGTATGTATTTATGTATATATGTATGTGTGTGTGTATGTATGTATGTATGTATGTAAATTTGTATGTATATACATATATATATATGTATGTATCCATATATCTATATATCTATGAACTTATGTATATAAATTGCTTATATGTACATATATATCCGTCTAACAACATGTTTTCTCACACTATTCAGCTGAGTGGTGAGGTAGAAGCGAATATCAGGGAGATGCAGACCATGGCTGCAATGACCAACGAGATTAACTCGCAAATTGCGGATCTAAAGAAGCAGCTGGTTGAAGAGGAACTGGCGGTAAGTTTTATATCGATGCCATGGTCATTCCTATCGTTCACGAGGTATCGTCGTATTTTATTGTCGTACACGAGAATTTGATCGTGTTCTATTGTTGTACATGCGATTTCGCCGCATTCAGTGGTCGTGCATATGTTGTTGTCGTTGTTTTGTTGTCCGTGAGGTGATGTCGTATTGTGCTGTTGTTCATCGGCAGGTAATTTTCATATACATTTAGCCATTGATGGAATATATATACCATACGTACATTCACTGGCACTAAGTATATGAGTTTGCGATTTGCCTCTAAATTCGGGGGGGGGTTTTTTAACGCATACATTTTACGCTTTTGCGTCGGTGATATAGATACCCCTTCTGCGACTCTCGTTGCTCCGATCATTGCTGTGGTATCTACTTGTGTCATGCATGCACGTGCATTCTGACATGCTTTGAATTTCTGTTTATTCTTTTGCGCCAATTAGTGGCATAAGGTTATTTCAAAACCAAGCTGGAGCTGTCAGTTTCGAGCTCACCGTAGGTGTCAAGGGCTTCAGACAAATAACCATACCAGCACCAGTTACGTTTATATAAGCATGGCATTCAACATACATCGTATATAAATATAAACATCACAAACGACTGAGATACTGATCTTCGCTGCTTCACGTATATAGGTCGAGAAAGACGTCAAGAAACTCGAGGCGTCGGGTAACACCACCAACTTGCCATTCGGCGTGGGCATACGGTCGACAGTAGCACACTCCATCTCATCCGCCCCAACTTATGTGCGAGAAGACCCGGCTATCAAGCCTCCCAAGCCTTTGAAGGTATGAGACTGCACTGAGTTTGTCGTGTTTGATATATGTACATTTGTGGTGGCAAATTGTCCAAGCCCTTGGAGGTTTGAGACAGCACCGAGTTCGTCGTGTTTGATGTATGCACATTTGTGGTGTCAAACCTCTCAAGCCCTTGAAAGTATGAGGCTGTACCGATTTTGTCGTGATTGATATATGTACATATTCGGAGGCAGTTTCGCTCATCCTTGACGTATGTATCAAGATAAATGTGTCTGGTATATTTGCTTTTGCGGTTCTTAAAGGTATGAGACTGTATCAAGTTTGTCGTGTTGAATATATGTACATTTGTAGTGGCAATTACGCTGAACCTAGAATTATGTACCATGACATTGTGTCTGGTATAAATGTATATGCGGCTCTTGCAGGTATGAGACGGTACCGAGTTTGTCGTGGTTGATATATATACGTTTGCGGTGACTGTTTCGCTGACCCATTGACGTATTTGCCAAGGTGAAGTTATCTATTATATGTAAATGTACGGTTGCAAACTTGCAGACCCTCGAAGGTGTATACCGAGTCAGATACATCTGAAATAGGTGTATGAAATATTGGATTTTGAATCGATTGTGCAGAGCCAAATTATATGGCTAGTATGCGATATCGCCTTATAGACTACCAGTAAATATTTCTTGCATGTGTGCACTTTGAACGTACGTTCTGGTCCCTGGGCCCAGTTTTCGTCTATAGTTTAGGCTTATACACTGCAATCATCATGTATTGTGTACATGATTATATAACACATGTGCCTATGTGCATGTCCATTGTAAGTGTGTACGATCACATATTAACGGTACACATGTGCCTTGTTTACGCAGGAAATGACGGAACAAGAGCAGGTCGACTGGGCCATGAAAATGACCGAGAAGGAGATGACACCCGAGGAGAGAGAGGAAGCCGAGCTCAGGCAGGCATTAGAGGCCAGTCTAAGGGACTAGTCGAATAATCTATTTATAAATGGTCATAGTTATTTATAAATTCTACCTACCTTCCTCGGACTAATGTTGGCACCCCCGTTGTGCACGGGTGCTTGGTCTGTATGTAAGTATGTAAATAGATTGTACCTAACATATAAAGATATCTTTAATGCACAGCGCTCTGTCAGCCGACAGCATCAATCACTATAATATGTTCGTGTTCATGCACTTCTAGAGGAAGAACAAACCGTTTTATACTGTATTCAGAAATATTTTCCGGCCTGTCATAATGGTACTTGACGATTAAATCACTTTTTGATCGCATTCGTATTGATCCAATCCGATCACTGGCTTTCAGCTGCATGGCACATTCGCTACTATGAGCATATATATATATATATATATATATATACGATCAGAAACTGAATTGTATTGATCGATACGTTAGCTCGACAATGCAGTATAGCGTCGTAGGTGCATTATATGTATATGTATAGGTATATGTATGCGTAGTGGTGAAACGATGCTCACACACCCATCTGTGCTTATTTGCACTGGGGTATACATTCTCCCTCGTAGGCCTCTTCTGCAGTTTCATATATACAATGCCTACTTAGTACGCGACTTTATTTAAACATGCTTGCACACAAGTCGCTGTGCTAAACATTTGTACCGCGTGGCAAAGGAATCGGTCAATACACAGCTGTTGGAAGCGCACGCTCAAAGTGGCGTGCTACTCGTGTTCACAGTCGGGAGAAAGCCACTACAATATGCCGGTTCATATTGTAGCAACGATTTTAACCATGGCCCTTTAAATTAGACAAGGGCTGTGTTTTAATCTGTAATGCGAACACACTGATTTGAACCTACAATCGACTAAATGCATATGTAGAGAGTTACTCAGCTATTTACGTATGTACAAACACACTATTGAAAAAGCGTGTTTTTCGTTTTTGTAGTTCTTTTTGATTTTGCAAAATAAACAGAACCTAAAAATTATGTTCTCAACTCTCACTCTACGTTTTATAGTAAGTAGGGTTTGATGAGAGTTGTGGCTTACAACTTGCATTTTTAACTTGCATTTTTAACTTGCATTTTAAATAAATACCTTATGCTGTCGAGTATCCTGTTATATGCACTGTAGACTTCACCTCTACTCAGTACTTGCTTTGAGCATTGATTAAAGAGTTTTAGATACGTATCCGTATGTTTCCTGAAGGATAGGGTAAGCGATAGATTTTACGACTGAAAAAAAAGTGATGACAGCTCTGTTTAAATAGATCTGTCCCTTGGTGGTCTAGATACGACAACTGGTTAAGCATCGACTGGGTTACATCCATAAGGAGGACAGCCCAATCAGTACTATTACTCTTTAATATATATATATATATAAAGGACAAGTTTACTTATACTGAAAACATCTGCGCATGGGAAACCCAGTTCAATGCCAACAACATACACAGGCAGGGTATTCAATTCAACATCGTTTCAACACTAAATGCATCCACTTTAGCACATTACATGCAGTACGACAAAAAGTACACCTAAGGCATCCCACCCAATACCGACTACATATGCACACAGGAAACCCAATTCAATACTAACAACATCTACAGACAGGATAGCCAAATTCAACCTGGCTACAGCTATACGCTCACGACAGACAAAGTCAGAAACACGAAGATAGGTTTGAAATAGCCTTCACTACTAGTTATCAAGCAATAGAGAAGCCCTAGAGAGAGTTTCAGTGAAAACCGTATTCGTAGTGTTTTGGCGTGTAGCAACAGAGCAGGTGATTGATTTCGTATAGAATGCAGTGATATATAGTGATTTTTAGCTCACTATGTTCTTATTATGTGAATGTGTATCCCTTTTCTAAGTGGATGCATTTTTAGGCGAACTTCTTGTACGCACATTTGTAAGCACGCGATTTGTATGAGCCTTCCCCTGTGTACCCGTTACACTAATAGTTACTATGCAATCATTTGTAGATCCATGTTCTCGCCGTACAATCAATTGTATGCTATGTCACTGTAGAACTGTTCTTACGGATTTAATTTTCGCTTGCCTTTAATCACCTCTATGTTTATTACTCAAGAAAGTCTACTGTGTTTATCTTCCCAGCAGCGTACAGTCGGAACTAGACAATATACATATCACTCAGTAGACAGAGGATATCTGGCCAAATATCCTTCAATATTCTACCTGTCGCACCATGCAAGTTAAAAATTTGGTTGGTATGTGGCTAGAGACAGGTGGCCAAATGAGTTTTGACTCAGAATATCTATTGGAAGACTTCGTACTACGCTATCGCGAGCAGCTGCGCACGGTGCGTTTGGTAGAGCCAATCGCTGACATTAGTACGCTCGTCTCGTGTTGGAATATACGTTCTGTGGATATGAACGGCAATGCAGACGTATATAGCATCCGCGCCCTTGGCGACTGTCGGAGTCTGCAGAGTCTGTCCACGTCACAATGTGGTGAAGTCAAGGACATAGCAGCTCTTGCTACTTTACCGGCTCTGCACACACTTGATGTGAGCGGCAATAGGTATTTGCAGCCTCTGTCTTCTTGCACGACAATAGTCAAATTGGATATAAGTGATAGCGTTAGTTTAACGGATATAAGCCCTCTTCGCTTCCTTCAAAATCTGCGTGAGCTGGACCTGACCTATTGCCTCGAACTTAGTGATTTCAGTCCCTTGGCCGCGTGTACCGCACTGCAATCACTGAACATAAACCGTACGGCGACATCTGCCCTCTCCAATCCTGTGTAGCACTATCCACACCCACTATGTATAGTAACAGCAGTATCACTGACCTAAGTCCAATATCATCATTCGAAAGTCTACACACAGTGAAGCTTGGTGACTGTTTTTTTATTGGCGACCTCACTCCATTAACCCAATGGACTAATCTGCACACGATCGATCTCCATAAGAGGGGTGTGACTGACCTCGGTCCTCTTGCATTCTGCACTGGATTGCACAGATCTTAGTCCACTGGGGTCGCTAATATCATTGCACACACTCGATAGTAGGGCGAGTGCATACATTACTGATTTGAGTCCAATTGACGGTTGTCTTCGGAGCCTGCGCGAGCTATACATGTCCGAATGCCCCGACAACAGCGATATAAGCCCGCTTGCCACATGCGTGGAGCTACACACACTGAATATAAGCAACTGTAAATAAATCGCTGATTTTAGACCAGTTGCTGCCTGTACAGCGTTACGTACCCTGGAGTTGGCTGTTTTCAGAGCTTGCGGAAATTGAGCATGCGTGGATGTAGCAACACCGCCGATATAAGTCCAATTGCGCCCTGTGTGGAGTTGGAAGAATTGAACCTTAGGCAGTGCGAGGGCATCTCAAATCTTAAACCTCGGGCGTCGTTAGTATCGCTGCAAACTCTGGATTTAACCGCACCCGATTTCGGTTGGTTCCTCGACTCAATCACATGCAGTCAGAGTCTCCAGAGACTGTTGATTCATAGTGGCAGTAGCACAGCAGTCTTGGACACACTCTATGGTTGTCGTTCCCTGCACACTCTACGTTTACACCGTGCATTGAGAAAATGTATCTGGTGATGCTGTTCCCAACTTTGATATATATGGTGATGAGGTCCGTAACTGTAACTTTCTACAGATCTATGATTTGTCTACAGAGCACCCGTTTGCTCTTCACTACGGCAACAATTTGGAGGACTATACTTCAGAAGACTACACTTCAGAAGACTATACTTCAGAAGACTACACTTCAGAGGAGAAACAATCAAATTAAAATCGATATCATGGATTTTTTTATAGAATAGTGGCGACAATGCCAAATGGGAGCATGAGACCAATATTGTACATCGTTTGACAAATCATGGTTTGCGATACTATAGGAAAATTTGAGGATTATTTGGAATGGGATATTTGTGTAATTCCATGTTCAGCTTCACAGAATGTTTAGATTCACATATGGTACTCAGTGACGAGTGTCACAGCTCCAATTGGCATGTGTTTGGTTAACTAATAGGTCAATGAACTTGTGACATGCCTCCTCATACATGTGTTTGGTTAACTAATAGGTCAAAGAACTTGCAACATGCTTCCTCATACATGTGTTTGGTTGACTAATAGGTCAATGAACTTGTGACATGCCTCCTCATATATGTGTTTGGTTAACTAATAGGTTCAATGAACTTGTGACATGCCTCCTCATATATGTGTTTGGTTAACTAATAGGTCAATGAACTTGTGACATGCCTCCTCATAGGAGGGCGTGCTTCCGTGGGGACTTTTGGGAATATAGCAATATCACCGCGCACACCGCGCGGCTACTTCCAACTGTTAAATTGTAAGGAGTGTGTTACATCCCATAGTAGCGTAAGCTACATCTGTCTGCTGACTTCACGTTGAATATAGGTTTGTTTGTAGATGACTGGATTGCATGGATGCACATGGTCGCAAGTGCAAATCAATAACTATCCAACTATCCCAACAATGTTGCCTACGCATTGTAACTCTTGTCGCACCTAGTACGGTCGCCACTGAACAGCACGCATTCTGGGTACACCGGCTCTAGAGCGCCAATTATAGGCAAAGTAATATTGAATCGGTGCAGTACGTCACAGACGGCCTCGCCCTCAAGCTCAATTGTATTTCTAGGTGTATCATCTCCTATGATACGTTCAATATGCGTAGACTGACTATCTTGAATACCAGTCTGTGTATAAATGGCTAAGGGCACTTCGTTACTGGGACACCACTTGTGGGGAGACACTCCCATAGAACCGTCTTTTTTAATAGGTATAGGCTCACCACCGCGGCACAAGTACGTGCGGCACTGGTCGAGGTCAGCGCATTTCGGAAAATGCGGTGCGATATGAGCGGGTGTATGTTCGTCGATTTTGTTGTATAGGCCCAGCTTCTCCCTGAAAACACATGCTGTGTAATCATCACTGTTCCGACACGCAGGAAATATCGGTCCATATACGGCATGGGTTTGCATGAGTGTCGTATGCAGGCATGAGCAAGTAGCAAATGATCCGCACCTTCCACCCACATTCGTCAGCCAGAATGCCGCATTAGGCATGCTCACGTACCAGAATCCTGTATCCCTGATATTTGATAACACCGAGTCGAATACCTCAGTCAACACAGTGCTGTGCACAGCATCATCCGATTCTATGCGCCCCATGATTAGAAGACTATTTTGTGCTACGTCGTAGTCGGCATTTTCACGTATGCTGCCTTATTCTGACCTCTCCCTCCGAGGTGGCGTTAGCAAAGCTCAATGCTTCTGCACATGTTGGCTCATAAATCATAAATTCAGAGTCGAACCGCCATACAATGTCTAAATCCTCGTACGTTATAGATCTCTTCAATATCTGAATGGACTGTGTTACCGATGGCACGATAATACGAAGCTACATCTCACATCTCGCGCGATATGCATTGCATCCCCCTAGTGAAAGTAGACGTGGGTCTGTATCACGAAAGAATCTAGTCTCAAGAATGTAGAATATGCGATTCGACTCATTTATTTGTCCAGATGAATATAAAGAAAATATACTTGTATTGCGCGTCTGGACAAAGAATATGTAATATACCCCCACCGACAAGCACATGCCAAGAAAGAATGGCAGTACCTGCCAAGGGAAAGCCACACGCATCTCAGCAGACGACAGTTATGTTATAGTCTCACCGTTAATGGTAGATTATGTGCTCTAGTACACAATGCATAATTGATTTGTTTGATATAATTCTTGTGGCAGATCTTACTAGACTGCGCCCTGGCATTGAAGCTTTTAGCGCTACATCAAATGATTCCGCTGTGGACAAAAGGGTATACTGCCAAATGTTATGCATGGGTGTAAAATGCCAGCTCGCTTCTTATATCGACTTGAAAGTATATATATCTGCCTCTTGACCTGATTTACTCGTGTGGTGTTCCATTCCCCCATGTTGCACGGCATACTTTTCACATTTTAATATATTTATTTATGTATATACAATTATATATTTGTCGCCAGCTCGCCACTCGCCAGTCGTCACGGCCACACACATTCTAAAGATCAAATCGGAGTCATCGGATTGGTTGTTACTCGGTTCTACTTTTTGAAACAATTTTTTGTTTGTTTATATTTACTGCAATAGAGGGTGAATTGAAAATCTACCACGGGCTTGGAGAATTCGAGCAGCAATTCATGATATCATTACAATACATATTAGAAATAGTTTAGATAGCTACAAGGAGTTAGGGGTCTGGAGCGGCAACTTGTTCCATCCCGGGTGTTATGGGCGTCTTGCCTAACCACACTAATGCCTTAGTAGCAATGCGATGGGACAAGGGATCCATAGCGTTGATAGTTTCGATTAATATAGGGTAGAGTGTGTGCCACTTTGTAGTGAAACTAAGAAGGATCACAACACGAAGGAGCACCGCAATTTTTTGAATTTTGAATTTCGACCCTCTGACTCTCTGAGACAGCCTGGACTCTGGAGTCTGGATTCTCGTCTCCCGAGCCTGGACTAGTCACTGAGAGACTGTGTCACTGTGAGTGTGTGTGTCAGCGAGTGTGTGTGTCAGCGAGTGTGTTCACTGTTCAGTCTGTCAGACTCTCAGTCAGACAGTCATCTGAGGCTGAGAGTTTAGAGTTGAGAGTTGAGACTGCGACTCTGCGAGACTGCGACTAAATAATCACTAAATAAATATGCAGAACGTTGATACTCGTGAAGACGGCTTTAGGAGAGGCTAGTGGCTACATATAAAACGTTAAAACCAACCATTCTCGGTTTTGCGTTTAGGAAGGATGGAAGAATGGACGAGTGACTGAGCAAAAATCATTTAGTATTTATCGAGTGAGTTACAAAATGATAAATTTCAATCAGTATTACGTTTACGTTCGACATTGCTGTATGGGTGAATACTAACATACAGCAACCCGAATTGAGCTTCTAAAAAATAAAAAGCTCTGCGACTGACGTGGCGAAAAAGGCTCAAATACGTATATATATAATTTAATCTAAACTGGCCTTTCGAGTTCCAAGTCAACAGCCCTAAGTCTTTCATTTTTTTTAAATTAGGTACATATTGCAACAATATCGACAAGTACCGTAGGGCAATAACCCGACTCTTTATAAGCCACAGAGCTTAATTTATTAGCCGGACCAGTTCCCCACATGGGAATCAAAGAACTTGCAGAATTAATTTCATGCACGCTCGCGGTACATGTTTGGACCCTTTAACGTCGTTGACAACACCGTCAGATGCATATTGTGGTAACGCGAGGGAGTCACGATAGAGTATGCAATTTTTGGACTGATCATTCTGCCACGATGCCGCATATATTTTGTAGGACATACACGCAACATCCGTACTCATAAGATTCATACATGATAGATCAAGCCGATGTAAGAACCCTAAACCCTAAAATCTATCGCGACATCCTCGCAATACCACGTTATGTTTTAGAACAGATGTTGTAATAAGACCGGAATGGATGGATAGATGAAGAGAAGTAGTTCATTGACAACGTCTCCTGCCAGTTTCTAGTTCTAGCACCCTATCTGATTCAGTACTGTATAGTACTAAAAAGAAGGACAATGAATGTTTCCATACATACACTTTATTGGTGGAATCGGTACGGACTAACAATCAATCGGCAGGGTAAATGTGGCCATTAAGCAGACCGCAGAGTAGAGCTGTACCTTGCTTTCGGAATGACCTCTAAAATTATTCATTTCTTGATCTCCTTGTTCAGGAAATTCCTGTGCATAAGGAAGACAGAGTCGAAAATTGAGTGTTTGGACAAGCGCTTCGGGTTTCGGGGAGTTCGGTACTCAAGCTTGGTTGCCACAGCTGTACACTTCAGCCGCTAGCGAATACCTCCGCAGCTAAACGAAATTCCATTACGATCCCATATATACAGAGCATAATATACATCACAAGGTCACACAACAGCAACAACACTATGTACATACACATTACCTCAAACACATACATATAACGCGATACAAACCAACTACGACCGTTCGAATCCGCTTTCCAGCAGCACACACCCTAGACGCCACAATTCCAGACCTACCATGACTTGACCATCATCTTCTGGGTTGCAACCAGGGCCTCGTACCGTACACTGCTATCGGGATGGCTGATTAATTTGATCAGTTCGGCCTTTCCACCCAATTGCTCCACATTCGCTCGCCCCAGACTGTAGTGTCGCGTGTATTCTCCCAAGTCATGGCACGCAATAGACATCGCCGTGGTATCCTGGGTGTGTCATACAGACATTAAATTAGAGATTCGTAAACCAGTGAGCATCCGCTTTCACAGTCATCTTGATAATTAATACAGACATTGAACTAGAGATTCGTAAACAAGTAAGCATCCACTTCCCCAGCCATCTTGATAGTTAATACAGACATTGAAATACAGATTCGTAAACCAGTGAGCATCCGCCATACAGACATTGAATTAGAGATTTAGAAACGAGGGAGCATCCGCTTCCACATTCATCTTGATAGGTATTTTGATTTGGTGCTAGTGTTTCGATGATATGTTGATCAAAAATGTTCTGTTCACGGTTCTATCTGTAGTGTAAACTGGGAATGGTACAATTCACTGCCGTATTCACGTTCTACTGGCCAGCGGGGAAGTGACGCCATAACTGAGTGCATAGCGCATACAAATGATTATACGTATATCCCACCACCCATCCACATATACAAATGATTATACGTATATCCCACCACCCATCCACCTATACAAATGATTATACGTATATCCCACCACCCATTCACATATACAAATGATTATACATATATCCCACCACCCATTCACATATACAAATGATTATACGTATATCCCACCACCCATCCACATATACAAATGATTATACGTATATCCCACCACCCATCCACATATACATATGATTATACGTATATCCCACCACCCATTCACATATACAAATGATTATACGTATATCACCACCACCCATCCACATATACAAATGATTATACGTATATCCCACCTACCATTCACATTTACAAATGATTATACGCATATCCCACCTACCATTCACATAGACCACATACATTGCTCTCTTCCAGAATAGTAATCAGCATCCTCAGCATCTCGTGTTCATTGTCGTTGAGTCGCATCACATGGTCCCGCCAGAAAGCCTCGCTTTTGTGCATAGGACTCCATTTGAGGTCACCTGAACGCACCTCAATGGCGTACTCGTCAAACGAATTAAGTTCGGTCACATAGTTCTGCATGGTATCTACCACATACTCTACGTCGTCCTGCATTGTAATTTATATATATATATATATAATATCACGTATAAACAAAAACACGCGAAGATATGAATCTTGTGATTATTCACGTATATGCATGTGATATGCTCCAGCAAGCATGCCATGTGAGAAATAGGCCAATCAGCATTCTCTTGTACTGACACTCCAGCTCACAAATCTAGTTATCTTTGTTTCGCTCCGCACATCGAATTATTTTACACATGATGAACATATTTGCATATAATGAACTATTTATATAATGTATTTATTCTGATAAACTGAAAATATCTACATATAAATAATGAGCTAATTATATACTATGAACAGCATTTATATTAATAATATACAAAACATATATATCGACTGATAATTGGCATATTTACATGTATAGGGACACAAAAAGGAAGCATTGCAGTCACTGCCGTAGATACATTTGGTCGTCCACAAGACACACCTTGATATCCTCGTCCTTCCAGTTCTTTGACTGAATAAGTCGCAGTTGGCGCTGCAGTTTGTTTGATATCATAATCTCCACGTTCTCTTTAATCTTGTAACCCGACTTCTCCAGGATATTCTGCAGCGTGAGTGTGTTTATGTGGTTAGATGCCCATGCGTGTATATGTGAATAGGTGTCCAGTGAACATGGATGAACACAAGTATCTTGACTATACCTCCGCGCGGAGATTGTGTATTAGATTATAAAGGCATATATTTTGAGATGGATCAGGATGTGTGTATCGAATAGCATCGGTGGGGGATTTAAGAATATAGGTGCATGTCTACATGCATGCGTATGTGCAGGAACCATGGAAAGCACACTTGTTCATATCCACGCTTGCGAATGAGATTTCAAGGTTTAGGGTTTAGGGTTTCGAGATGCCGGCATGACAAGCATGTGCCGTGAGATCGCTTCTCCGTGGCAGTAGGTATATAATTGCATGGGAGCATACATGCATATATAGTGTTTGATTGATACATCCACAAGCCCAACCCCATTATTAGATATTACCTAACCACTACAACCCCAAAACATTCTGGCAATCCATAGCTACATTACATGGTTCATACACACGCCCATATACACAACTGAGTGGTACATAACTATACAGGCACCTCCTATGTGTTATACAACACCCACGGCCACTGCGCATGCAACAGTAGTGCGTATGTCTACGTCTGAACCCATGCGCACGCGCACACGCACACGCACTCACACCAATCCCCAGCTTGTCACTTACTCGTAGCGTCAGCGTGGCCACCCTGACCACCTTCTCTTTGCTGGACTTGGCCAAGACGTTCGAGATGACGGAGGGTATGTGTCGTTTGGAGATGGTCTGTGCGATGTCACTGTTGAAGGTCATGAGCCAGAAGCAAAAGACCACTTGATACTGCATTTGGAAGTTGGCGGCTTTGTTAATAACCAGGTCGCACAGGGCACCGACGCCGTTGGTGTCTTGATAGAACTTCAGGCGGTACTGGTCGAATCTCAGCATGGACATGAGGGACTTGATCACCACCTAAAAATAGAATAGAGCAGATATATATTTAGAACGTAGTAGCTTAGCGCAACATGAGCGATAAACCCCTCACCGATGCAGTGGAAAGTAAGAAAGGAAGAAGTATCCTGAGTAGTTTACAGTGTATGCGAAGATAGAGGTACATCGCCCATTTCTGCGCGATTCTTTAGATATATAGTAATTAGCGGATTCGACAGATATTGAGATTACGAAGTTTAGCATGACTTAGGTAGATTGACAACACTGACAATCAAGGTCACAAATCGATTACAAAATAAACAGAAGCCCAATTATATTTAGGTTAAATAGACACGGACAACACTTGGCACTTGGAATATATAAATATATATTTGCATATATATGCATATATATATCGATATAGAAATCTATACATACATATATATATTCTCATCCTAGGCTACAAGTTAATCCACAGGTGTTTGTAAACTATGCATAAGAAGGAAAGAATCCAACAAGTCATTGTAAGGTGCCACAATATACAATTATGATAACGACATGCGAGGAATACCGAGATTCACTTTTCATTGGCGTATAGAATTCGGACCAGATATACCCACATACACAGGTAGCGTGTAAGATATATGAAAGAATATGAAAGTATACACTATAAAAAAAAGTTGGGTTTCATGGTTTACTAAACACTAAACCCCTGAAAAATTGTCGATTCCTATCTGATTGCATCAACCGAATCGGTAGCCTACGCAAGTGAGTGGTGAAATTTGCAAAAGACACACTAGTGGAAATGGTTTGCAGCGCTTTTAGGGTTGAGGGCCAACTAAATCACACCTCCACGTAGAACTGAGAAAGCTCTGATTTAAACCACATAGAGAAAGCTCTAATTTAAACCATATACAACTGAAAAAGAGAAACCACGTAGAACTGAGAACGCCCTGATTTAAACCACATAGAGAAAGCTCTAATTTAAACCACATAGAACTGAGAAAGAAAACCCACGTAGAACAGAGAAAGCTCCGATTGAAACCACGTAGAACTGAGAAAGCTCTTATTTAAACCACATAGAATTAAGAAAGCTTCGAGTAGAACAAGCCTCGATCTGTGTCGGGGACAGATACGGTATGATCATCGTCCATAGTTTTGGATTTTCCACGGTACACTCATACTCAGTAGCGATTGAGTGTGTATACTTCTAGCGTTCAAGGCGCTGACAAATTTGAACACAGTTCGGTACTTCCCACCGCACCTGTACGTGAAGACCACTGCCCGACTATACATGCATGCGTCACCACTCACTTGAAATGAATCATACGTATGTTCAAGACACTCTGATTTGTATATAAAAATGACAGGGTTTATTTTTAGAATCCAAGGCACAGAACGGTTTGTGTACAGATTTGCAACGTTCAAACGCACCTGTACGTGAGGACCACTTCCCGACTTAAGCTGAGTCGCCAACCATTTGAGGTACTTATCGGCATTAGTATCATCCAGTGGGGGGCCTACAAGTAAATACCCAGGAACAAGCACGTGTCAGTCGAATAGGTTATATTGTCATAACCGTTGATATGATAGTATAAGTATATGCCAGTCAGCGCACAATAATACAACGCGGACGGCTAAAGTTGAAAAAAATTGCCTAGAGTATACATACATACATACGTACCCCACAATTAATATCAGATGACAGACTAACAAGGGTCAAATAATGCGCATGGTATCAATCACCAAGGGTTGGGGAGAAAGCGGGATGTCAAAGCGGGATGAGAAAAGATAAACTACTGAGAGAAACCATACCAGATCGACCACGGGTGCTCAACATGTGAGGTTAACCAGTATTAAACACTTTCATAGACTATCCCGTATATGGGAGACCAGACTGGCTCAGGAGCTACTAGATTACACCGACATACACGCAGACACTATCCTGCTATTGCACACCCTCATCTCTATAGATCATGTATATATGCATATACGGATTGGATTTGTATCTGTATAAATATAAGCACACATATGGTTGGTCTGTACCGATGGTACTCATGGCGTCGGTGTACATCATACGCATACAGCAACAGATAGCAAAACCAAACATCCGTACACATGCCCACATACAAACACACAACATAACAACACCATACCTGTTACACACAACGCAGTCAACACCTTGACAGCCTTGTTCTGGATGAACAGATCGTTCTTCTCCATCGCAAGGTGCAGGAAACATCCGTAGGGCTGGCCGGCGCTGATGGTGCTCATGGCGTGGAAGTAGCTCACACGCATAGGGTCGTTGGTGAGTGCATCGTCCACCAAGGTGAGGATGTACTGGAGTGGCTCGTCATTGTTCAGCTTGGACAGTAATGCTAGCATCAGCGACGCGTATTCTCGACCCTGGGGTTTGGCGAGGAGTGATTCGAGTAGGTGAGTATGTAGGCGACTGTGTGGGTATAAAGCTGAATGGTATATATATATATATATATATATATATATATATATATATATGTGTGTGTTGTCGTGTATATATAACTATACTATTATATATATACATACATACATACAAGCATACATATATACATGTATATATATATATATATATATATGTATATATATATATATATGTATATATATATATATATGTATATATATAAAAAGATGTATATGTATAGAAATATGTGTGTATGTGTCCGTCTCATCGTATTCCATGATCATTGTACTGGACTCTAGAAAACAGCAAATCACCCGTGATATATAAACATGTATGCGATATGAGAATACAAATGTCCAGGATGTAAACAAAGTACTGCGTCTGCGTCTACCATTGTTGTCGTATGCCTTTCTTCGTTCAGTGGTGTGGGAACAAACAATCATCAGTGCAATACACGCACACGTCGACCATATGCAACTTCATCTACGCGTGTTCACATGCACTGCCGCAACAAAACAATGCAAGGCAAACTTACACTCTCTTTCCACAAAGCACTGCGTCTGGTTTCATTACTGTCGTCGTATGTCTTGATCATCGACAGTTCGGTCTTTTCTATGAGTCCGGCGGTCTGGTAGCCCTCCCACGGGATGTTGCGATTGCGCACCGATGCGGTTTGCGACTCGAGCGATCCTGTAAAATGAGTTTGAGTGTGTGTTAGGGGGATATCGGGTTGAATATACACCTAGAGTTGGGGTTCGATAGAGGGATTTGTTTCGGGTTGTCTACTCGGATTGACATAGGATACTTCATCCATAAAGTACACAGGGAACCCGGTAAGTGGAGAGTACCGTCATAGCTGCATTGCTAATGAGACACATCCACCACCAGAAGTATTCCCTGGGCCCTATATAGACATCCTTATTATCCTCCTTCACACAATTAGATAGGTATACTATGTCTGATTAAATATGAAAGTGTTGTCCTTTTGAGTAGTCATGTATCAAAGTACGGCCTATGCAAGCAATGCAATAGGATAAAGTACACGATATGATGCTAAGATTCTGGATACAAATATATTCTGCGCACTTTATGAACATATGGACTATACTGTGCAAGTATATTCTGTGTATCTGAGGAGTACAAAGACAGTTGTGAGACAGGAAAAAAATTGAAATTGGCAAATATATATATATATATATATACTTATACATAAGCATAAGCATAAGCATATATATAGATATATATACATATACATTTTACATATACATTACATATATATATATCGTATATATATTTTTGTGTGTATTGATGTATATGTATATGTATATACATATATATGTGGATGAATGCATACATATACATACATATATATAATTATATATATATATATATATGTATACAGAATGAAAATACATGCATGTATTGATATATATTTATTTATTGATCTATCTAACTTTATGTCTATCTAGCATTCATTTTCTTTTATATGTTTCCTTATAAATTTATGTATATTGTTCTTTGTGAATCTAAATAAAAACAACTAGACACACATATATACGCATAAATAGACACATGAACATGCGCAAACACATATGTGTATATATTTATACGCATGAATACATGTACGAATACGTGTACAACAACATATTTAAGCATACACTTATACACAGACATATACATACGTACATATACACATACACATATATATATATACATATACATACACATAAACAAACACACATGCACACACGCACTCATACATACATATATATATATATATATATATGTGTGTGTGTGTGTGTGTGTGTATGAGTGAGTGAGTGAGTGAGTGAGTGAGTGAGTGTATGTATGTGTGTAATTATATATATATATGTGTGTCCATATATATATATATATATATACTAATTTATATGTGCATATATATATATATATATAAATACATATATCTATATATAAATATACATATATATATACTAATTTATATGTGCATATGTATATACATATATATAAATACATATACATATACATATAAATATATATATACATATATAAAAATACATATACATATATATATATATATGTATATATATGTATATATACATATATATATATATATAATGTATATGTATATGTAAATATATTTATATATACATACATATATATATATAAATATATGTATCAGTATAACACTGTATATATATTGTGTGTGTGTGTGT